GAATAAATAATTATACCCTGCTTCTGGATTACTATTTCGATTATTACATCCATTTGCTTCAGTAACCTGAAACAAGAAAGCCAGCCTACACTGTTGATATTTAGACTAGACATGGATTCTAACTTTGATAATGACAGGAACTAAATCACAAGTAATTGTTAAGAACTTAAATATTTTGCAAAAACTGATGGATCCCTGTATCAGCAAGTGGGAATCAGATTCATAAGGAAAATCTTGGTGCTTAGAACCCTACACTCCCCCTGTAATCTTCCCAAACTACTCTTATGTAAAAGCATTGTAATTGCTACCCACATTTTGAAGGAAAATACAAGTCTGGGCAATCTGCTATAGACTATATCTGCTGGCTCATTAATCTTGCATGCTCTTTATATAATATTGACTGTGAAAGATACTATCATACATCTAGCAGTGATCAGGCATTTGTCTTGATAATACCTAGATGGTAGTACACATATACTCTCCAGGTGTCAAAAGAAAAGTGTAGGTTTCCATCTTTCTTTCATGAGTGGTATCTTTATGATTGAAAGGTGAGCTTGCATTACTGAGGCTATTTTCTGCTTCATGCTGCAGAAAAACCTAACTCTGAGCTTCTAGGCAAACAGCTGGGGCTGTCCTCCCTGCTGGGCACCACCATGTAACCCAGCGAGTGAGCAAAGTGTGCTGCTGAAGGCTATGAGCAAAGTGTGAGCAGCTGCCTGCCACTAACCAGAGCTGCTTGATTTTGTTAATAATAACTTAATGATTAAATGAGATTCTAAAAAATTCTGTCTGGGATCTGTGTGTTCCCTGAGCTCAATCGGTTGCCAGAGAATGAAGTTTAAAATGGTCCATCCAGCCTACCTTTAGCTATCTCAGGGCAACTCTCCAGAGAGTCTGCAAACACCAGACTGTATCAACCAGACACCAAATATATTAACTTTTAAGGAGTTTCATACCTTTGGCACTTAAGTGTCTTTTCTCTTTTGATTGCCAAAATGGCTTGTATAGGCCTGGAATAAATACCAAGCTTTTAGAAGGTTGAAGCAGGATGAAACCTTGCCACAATATGTTATGTCAAAATAATACATAAAACACTTTCAGGAACATTG